CATGTAGCTTGCGTCTATAGGAGCGATGTGGGATGAGATAGACTTCGAATTCTTGGGGAATCTGAGTGGTGATCCTTACACAGTGCACACAAATGTGATCACACGAGGCAAAGGTGATAGAGAACAACAGTTTCGTCTCTGGTTCGATCCCACTATTGATTTCCACACTTACTCCATCCTCTGGAACCCTAAAACCATAATGTAACTTCTAAATATCTACTCTCTATTCATCTCTTAGCATAATAAAGCAGAATATGTAGCAATATTCAAGAGTCGGATATTTGGCAGATTCTCTGTGGATGGTACACCGATAAGAGAATTCAAGAACATGAAACCGATGAACGTTTCTTACCCTGAGAAACAAGCAATGAGAGTCCATTCAAGCTTATGGAATGGAGATGACTGGGCAACGAGAGGAGGGGCCGTGAAGACTGATTGGTCTAAAGCGCCATTCACGGCTTTTTACAGGAACTATGAGGTTCAAGACTGTGTTTGGTCGGCCAGTGGGGCTAATGTATCTTGCGGTGGTGACGGTTCGAGCTCATGGCTTAATGAAGGGATAGATGAAAATAGCATGAAGAGGCTTAAGTGGGTCCAAAGCAACTTCATGATCTATGATTATTGCAATGACGCTAAAAGATTTCGTATGGGGTTGGCTAGTGAATGTATTGATATGAATTGAATTAAAAGCACTGTTATATACAAAAATAATACTCTATTCGTTTCAAAATGTAAGTTGTTTTATCTAAAAGCGCGGATATTAAAAAACTACTTTTTTTACTAAAAACGATCATTTAATATATTTAATAAAAATAATTTGACCAATCACACAAAAGACTGCAAAATACTAGTGGTTACACAATATTCAATAAAGTTTAAAAGTACCTAGAATTGTCAAAACAACTTACATTTTGAAACATAAAAGAACCTCCAAAACAACTTACATTTTGGAACGGAGAGAGTATTATCTTAAGATGGTCGTCTAAGTGAATCAATGATAAACCGATAAATGAAAAAACCAATGTGGTTAAAAATGAAACGATCCAAGGGATTTTGCCATGCCTTGGGACTTGTATCATTTTACTAAGATTTTTGGCATACAAACCGTTAGTATAGAAGGGATTTTAACCGAATTTAAAACAACTTCGAAAGGAATGTAATAAAACAGAACACCAAATAACATTCATATACAAATGGTAATATTCAAATCTTCAATCACACAGACCCTAACCCTAGCAAGTGGCATGATGACCACTTGGTGAAG